ATTTTATCTCAGAACCTACATAGCAGCTTTGCAAACCAGGGAGGAGATCTTGAGAACTCTTTGTGGTTCTCTCTTGCCAAAAAAGACTGGGTAGCTGAAAAAAATCTTGTCAAGTCTACATTCGGTAAAATAACTTTTCAAAAAAATAATTTGTGCTTACCCATTTATATGTTATACTTGTTGAAGTATTTCAATGCATTTATAAGCTTAATTTCCACCATTTAAGTTAATACAGTATATATCAGCATTTGGGTCAGGCATTTCATGTGTTATAATATGTGAATGTTGTCTATCTTTGCAGAATACGCTACGAACATAATTGAAATGGCTCTGTACATGGCAAAAAGTAATATGAAAGAGTTTTTTACACTGCTGAAATAATGTGCGATCCGGGAACAATTGCTGGGAAATTACCAAAACCAGACAAAAATCAGTTCGTGTCCAATTTACTCAGCCGATTCAACAGAAATTAAATACTGTATAGCCATACAGTAACATGACCATGTTACACTTTTTTTTTTATAAGAGCCATTCAAATTATGCCCAGGCTCACTGTTATTATTTTTGCTGATTCCAGCATTGCTCTATTTCCATTTACAGAAAATTGTTATTGTACAGCAGTATATTACTGTGCTATAAACGTTATAAGATCGTTATCGTTGAAGTATAAACAGGCCTTTATCCTCAACCTGGGCTTCAATATTTGAAAAAGCTTTTGGTTTGTACCTGATTGTACTTTAAACATTTCTTATGAGGTAGTTCTTGTTATCTTGCATAGTAAAATACCTACTACATGTCTTGAGACATGTTTCCAAACTACATCTTCCACGTTGTATTAACAAATTCTACCCACTTATTAAATGTTTCTATATCTTTTTTGGAAAGAGAACAAAAGATAGTTTCTGGTGACTAAATTGCATTCTGATGTGTTGAATTTGTGTAGAAAAAAATCATGGAAAATAATTTTATATAACCAATTATGTTATTTACTAAGATAATTCATATATAAGGGTTTTTTTAAATGATAATACTGTTAGTGCAATAAACAAGCAATTACTATTAATCATTTTTTAAACAAGTTAAATTGGATAACAATTATATTTATTATTACATGTACTAATCTTTACATTTAATGATAATAAAGCATGCTTTAGCATGAATACTGCAATCATAATCTAACTGTAAATTAGTGGTAAGTGTCTTCACTTTGTTTCAGTACTTAGCAAAGGTTGTCCCATTTTGTGAAAAAATAATAAGAGTTCGTCAGTGTTAAATAATATCATGAGAGTCTCTTGTAGCATGAATACTGCAATAGTAATCAAACAAGTATTTCATTAATCAAATTGTAAATGATTTTAATTGAATTGCAATTATACAGTATATAGTACAGTAGCAATACTACTTACATTAAAAAAAAAAAAGACATGCATATTGTTTTTAAGGTTGTTGGACATACTGTATTACTAAAATAAAACACAAAACCTGGTATAGTGTAATGCCTTAATTTTGTTAATAAATAGGTGCTTAGTATCGTCAGGAAAATTGAATCATACAATTTTACATCTTACACTGTATTGTTTGCTCTGTAATTCATAAGCTATTGGAATTATGCTTTAGAGATGTGTATAAGAGACAGTAGTAATTCATACTGGCAATACATTAACATAGCTACAGCATGAGGAGCCTCTGGTCAAAGGAGAAGCTAAAATTCACCTGTCTGGGGAGGATATTTAAACTCTGTGTAGTTGGCACTGGGTTCAGGAAATGCCTCATGTATGGACTTCATTACACGACATTAGCACTCGCCTGTCTTTGCCAAGATAACCACAGCACCAACGTACAAATTGCTGATAGGCTGTATGCCTGTAACGCCTGGAAAAAAAATTGTGAAGCAATATTAATATAGATTTTTTTTGTGTGTGACGGGAAGAGAAAACAGGAATTAAAGCTTAACTACACCTCATAAATAGTAATCAGATTTAATAAAATATTTTATTGGTCAATTCCACTTGTAAGCAGTGGGGTATTTTGCAAGACTTGCATGTAAGTGCACACACGAAGAAAAAGTAAGGTACCACCCAAAATATTAACTAATGTATGCCTAATAGAACAAAAATATA